GAATATTCCACCGTAACAACAACTCTTCTTCCAACCACTTCGCAAATTAATTTAACTGTCGCATCTCAAATCAATACAAGTGATAATGAAGGAAAGCATGGTTTGTTTTTGTTCTGTGAACGATACTGATTCTTGATTCATTGTTCGATTTTAATGTGTAGCGCTTTTTAATTGATTTTTTCTTATTGTTGATTCTCATGTCTGCTGGGCATCCGTCCGGCGTCGGAATCATGTTTATGAGAAGTACAACAAGTACTAATTTTTTCTGTATGTTGTTCTGTATTTTCTATAGATAATGTTGTTTGATGTCTTACTTAATTTAGATATGCTCTGTCCAAATCTATTCGGTACGTTTCCTGATCCGTCTAATTCACAAAATTATATTCATTGTTCCTATGGAGTTATGCAAGTTATTGTTTGTCCTCAGCGCTGCTTTTACAACGACGGTATTAAAGGTTGCAGTCCTCAGTCTTCATCATCAGTAACCACTAATAATCTTCAACTTCCACTGCTGATATTACCGGAAAATTTCGGTCGTCAATTTATAAAGGATTTTAATAAATTCCAACCTTCAGCGCCAGTTCAATCTTAGATCTGTTTGCGTCGGTCGGTAATGTGTTAGGCTAATATTACTTTTTCTGCTAGAATACATTCTCAGCTTATGAAGAGATATTATGCTTTATATTCTGTATCAAATTGTGATTTCAATAAAACAGTTAATGCAGTTGTTCTTCGCATGATAACATTCCCATTAGATTTAACTGTCATGGATTAGAAGTATAACTCTTTCTTTTGTTTTCTCAACAAACTAAAATAGATTTTTGATCGGACAAAAGAAACGAGAGTTTTATCGATTTGTTTTTCTGAATAGAACATTTGTATTTCAGTGTAGACCAGGAAAATTGTTCATTACATACAACACATACTATTATTTTCATTGCATCTCTACTCAAGGAATGCTTAAATGCCTGATGTGATCTCATAATTTGAGTCCATTCACTACATTCAAGCATGGAGAGTGTTCAATCTTATTTGTCTGTCATCGCTACCAAATTTTTCTTGCAGCGACTAGTATCTTCACAAATGAAATTTGTCAGAGATAAAACTTTTATGCTTAATGAAACTTATGTTAGGACATTGTTTTCTATTCACTTGATAAACTGGGCTTGTTCTTGAAAATAATTTACAAAGGTGAACAGAATGTGCATTAAATGCTTGTGACATACATTATGAGACATCATAAATATTTGTTAAAAATTAGAAATTAGTTACATAAAATGATGTTGAGGTAGAGTTTTATTGATGGAATTAGATCAACTATCAGAAGAACTCTTCAGATCATAACAAATCTTCATGTAAGAACCTTTGTCGCGCTTAAATGCTGCAGATGAGCAAAAATTTTTCATTACTAGACTTGTGACAGAAACTTTTTATGTAAAAAAATACATTGGAAACCAAAGTCTTCTTTGCTGAATACTATCAGTGCAGCAGTGGCACCACATTATTGCTTCACAAAATACAGCTAGATCAATTTGTCAAATAATTTATAGCATAAAATGAGGAAAAAATGATATGCTGATCACTCAAGGCTTAGCTAGTTTCTTAAAAAATTAGGTGCGCAGCTAAGTTTCTGCCAAAAAACTTTGAAATAAAAGCAGTCAGACGCTGGGTTTTACCTAATTTATGATGAATTGTAATGACATTTGTGACACTCAGGTAGTCAATATTTTACCCTTCCTTTAACATGACAGTTTCTATGTTTGTGGATTCTTGATTACTTTCCAAACTGAAGTTAATTGCAAACTAAATTGAATTACTTGATTTTTCGAAATAGCTCTATAATTTTTGCATGTTAAAGTCATTTGCATTATGTTGGTAAGATTCTTTTAACTAAAAAATTTTATTCATGAAAAAAATTGTTATGGCCATGTTAGTTTAGACGGTTCATTTAAAAATGAATTATGCTTTTACCAGCTACAGTACGTATTTAATTCATTGTTATGTACAAAAGTAATGGCTCTGAAAAGTTTTGTATGAATTGATTGAAGCCACTCTATTCGAAGACAAAGTCGTTATTACACTGAATGATAGCTGACTGATTAGCTTAATTGTTTTCATAGAAGTAAATATATTAGCTGTTGGTGTAAATTACTTCATTCAATTTATTCATTTGGAGAAATAAAGATTGCATAGGGTTTGTTCAGGTTGATATAACCGAAACAGAAATAAATGCTTGCAATAGTGAATATTTCTTTCTTAAACGTGCTTAAACAAAGCAATAATTTGAAAAAATAGATTTAGGCGATTTTTTTATTATCGATTTAAAATAAAGAGATAATTATAAAACATTTTTTAGCATAGTCATAATTTATAAGGAGTTCTTGGTGAGCTTTATTTTAGTTCTCAATAAAAGATTCTTGACCAGAAATTATTAACGTTTCAAATTTATTACTTCTTCTTTATACTAAAACTAGTGCACAAACGTTCACACAATTCAAAAAGCATTTA